AATTCCTATTTACATCATGTTTCTTTATAATTTATGAAGAAAATTATAAATCTAAAACAGCGAAATAATTATCATTTGACATTTACAAGAATTTCCTTAATGATGATAGATAATGATAAAATTATGCATGCATGGTCTAATGCTATGCTTAATGAACTGTTCAATGATGCAGAGTGTAATAAATGTCTTCCCTGGATCACATTTTTTATGCATGCAATAATGGTCTTATAATGTGCATTTTCTTGTAGAATTACTTAATACTAGTTGATTCTTTTCAATTATTAAATTTTTATTAAATAATTAAGCGTTACGCGCTAATACTTGTTAAAATATCCATATTTTGACAGAATATTAATTTATATTAGAAAGGAGGCAATGAATGTTTCTTTCAAATGCATTTTTGCATCTAAAGAATACACATGTACTTAGGTATTTAGTAGAAGATGAATCTGGATAAATTGGCCAACATTTTCCTCTTCCAACTGCTCTTATCTCCACTTACAAAATAATTACAGTCCTTTTTAATTACATCTCATCTAAGAAAAAATTTACTCTTCTACCATATATTCTTTTATAGCTCTTTCAACATATACCATTATGTAAATATCTATATATTTATAGAGCACTAAAACAATACAAGATAGCTATTCATCTTTTCATAAAAGAATTTCAAATGTCACGTTAATGTGACGAGAAAGTAAGAAGAAGTATACTGCAATATTATATACACAGGTATAAATACACGGATTGTTACAACATTCAAGCGACAGATTAATGGCACCCTAAAGAGGTAGCCAGTGTCCCATAATAAAGAGTGAAAATCCAGCCAGCTGGACAAGACGTTTATTGTCCTTGGGTATTTACTGTGACCGCTGACAAAGTAACGGTGACTGCTTTTAAGCTATAAGCACCAGACCTGTGCAATAAAACTGCAAAGAGACAGTTTCATTTTCTTCCGTTATTATCACTTGCAGATGTTATTTCATTTGTAGTTACTTTTTCTCAAGATACTAAATTTTGTTCAATATGGGAAAGTCGAATTATTGAATCCTTTTGTAAACTCTGAATAAATTTGAACAAAAAGTTTATTTACTTAAATGACTATGGATTAATTCGAAACGCATATTAGTTATACTTAAAAAATTCCAGTATCCGTGCAGCAATTTTTAATAGTAATCACATTTCTATAAAAAATAGTATAAAATTGACGTTCTCTACTTTCTCTAGGAATATTGAATTATTCTTCAAAATGTCCCTGAGTTTAATTCTACTTTCTCTCCACCATTGTTTTTAAAAAATTAGCTGGGGGTTTATGTATAATTGCGTAAAATTTATTACCTTGCTAATAACAACGAGCATCTCGAGTTCAGCGAACCGTCGACCTAAACACATTCGTCTTCCGTAGCCGAAAGGAAGTGACGCGAAACTGTGACGCATGCCATCGTTTTGCAGCCATCTCTCTGGAAGGAATTCCTTACTTCGTGGAAAGTACTTGTCGAGATTGCTTATCACGTAATGCTGGAAAACCACTTGTACCTGTTTGTTCAAATAAAACACTCCTTAGTGGAATTTTTCATTTTTCCATATTTGTAAAATATTTAAAGGCAGAGTATTGAATATGTTCTTGAGTTAATGGCACTTTTATTTTCCTTACTCCTTTAGGTACACGGTACCCCTTGATTATAGTGTCTTTGGTCATGCATCGTCCATTGCCAATCACTACTGGATACATCCTGAAATTGCAAATAATTGCACATTATATTTTGCTAAAAAACAATTTTTCTTACAAAAAAATCTTTGCTCGACAAAAAAATTAATATATGCTTGTTAATTAATGAACCTTCGCTTTAAAAATTTCAAAATTTTCCGATGACGATGTTTTTAATATTTACGCAACAAATTTGAAAGTCAGAATTGAAAAATAAATTATATTTACAATGAAATAAAATTATTATAAATATTTTAGTCATTTCCTCGGATCAAATTTAGCAAAATGTATTATCGATATCATTGATATATATCATTTGTAAATAATTATAAATTAAATTGCCATCGATATAATACAATTTTTATTCGTATTATTTTACTCGTTGTTATTACTAATCAAAAATCCAAACATTTCAGTGTGAAACATTTGTTATTTCTTCTCTAATACCCTCAGGTCATCCGACCTGCGTAAATCAATCAAAGGTTCAAGAATTACCGTTAAGATTAAATTCTTTCAAAAGATGAAGAATAAACGTGTAGGTATAAACCTTAGTGTTTCCTTAATGCACGCCTTCAAGTACTTCAGTTTATCCAGGTGATTTCCTTCCAGTTGCATATTTTCACTTGGAAGAACACTACAGACTTCATCATAAGCCAGCTCTTGCTTGTCAGGGTGCAGAGCTAATTGATACAAAGTTGATGCAACTGCACTGGAAGTCTAAAAGTGAACATTTCCAAAGTCTTACTTATAATGAACATCCAAAATATTAATATGCTGCTAATGAAAGTAAACAAAATTACCGAGTGGAATTTATATATGGTTAAAAGAGCCCTTCCCTCTAAGGTTATCTTGAAGGTCATTTCAAGATCATTTACATTTTTTTGCATATAAACATTTGTTTTTTACCATCATTCAACATTAAGACGTGAAGTGACCTTAAATAGGGAAAAAGAAGTAGATGACCTTGGAATGCTGTTTAAGGTAACCTTGAGGAAGAGCTTTAATTCATGAAATATTCTACGACATTGACACGTGAAAATTATTTTCAATTGTTTTTTCATTCGAGCACTTACAGTGTCAATACCAACTAGGAATAAATCAAGAGAGAGTATTGTAGCTAATCGGGTGTTATTTTCCAGAGTCAAGAGTCTCTCGAGAAGAGAAGGTTCCTTGTCAGAATTCCCTGCTTCTTTTATCTTTGAAAGAGCAGCTTCCGTGTATTTAAACGTTATACTGAAAGTAAGCATAGTATTTCTCTCATTTTTCACCATAATCTTACGTGAAAACTTTCAATTTAATACTTCTTTTTTATCTTTTTCACCTAACGATAGTGTCGAGAGCGTTCACGTATTGCATCCACGTGGGCGTGTTGAATAATTTCCAGAATGGGAACTTCAGTTCCAATACTCCCACGTTCTTGAAGAACGTAATAACCGCGTCTATTAATTGCTGAGTTTCTACGTTTGCGTCATCGTCCAAGCAGCCCAGTCGAACGTCCAGTGCTACACGCGCAATAGCTGAAAAAGTATTGTCAAAGCATAAAAAATCGTCAAATTTCTTACGGGACACTCCGTATATGACTTGGAAACAATGCAAACAGAAAATAAGCCCTTAAAATGTGATAAAAATAGTCATCAGACTAACGTAGGGTTAAATTTTTTATTTTTAGGTTAATAAAAAAAAGGAGTGAAAATATTCTTCAAATATTGCACACTGTGATAATAATATTTGATGAATCATTTTGAATACTTTGTTTCTGCATCAATTACAAAAAAAAACGAATGATTACAAAACGTGTAATATCGCATATCAATGAGGACGTAACGTCAGCATGCTTAGATGTACCGTTAGTTCCATTATTCATCCGAGAGAGGGTTACATAATTATACGTGTGATTATGAAAGTGACTGAAGGCATATATTAGATCGTGTAATATGAAATGTTGGATTTCTAATCGTTACTAAAACGATATCTCAAGTGATTGTACAGGATGATTCTTACAACTGGAACAAGTTGTATTTCTCTTCTGATTGCAATGAGAGAGAAAAGATAGAATTTGGAAAAAGCTGGAACACTCTGTATATAAAAACTAAAATGTAAATTTATTCTACGAAAGGATCGATGAAACAAAAAATAAATGATACATTCAATTTTTATCGATTTTCGATGTAGATCACTTTCATAATCATCGACACAATTGTGAAATGAATCGTGTGACTTCACAGAAAGTGTACAGCTAACTATTCATATCCAGGACAACTTTCGCTTGTACCAACGAAAGTAAACAGCCGATGAGTGAAGTGAAGTAGTCTAACGCGTGATACATACTACATCGATCAAGAGGTACTATACTCTTTGAGAAAATATTTGCTTTGTAATCACCTCACTGTGTAGGTTTTCTTTGCTATCATTACACGAGGATACAGTGAAAAATCTGTTATACCGACCGTCTAATAAGGACATAAATACAGTAAATTCGACAGCAGAATACGAAGCTATTTTTTCAAATCAATTTTGATGTATTTCAAAATATAGAGTTTTAGTTAAACAAATAGAATTATAAATAATTTGGGAAAAAATTATAAATAATTTTGGAAATAATTATAAACAATTATAAATCGTTTGGGAAATAATTATAAATAATTTTGGAAATAATTATAAACAATCTTGGAAAATAAAATTAGCCAAGAAGATTGTCCGTTTTCAAACAAATCAAATTTGAAGCTTAACGAATATTACCATACTTAATAAGATTTATATGTACTTTGCTAAACCGCACTCTACACAATTCCTCTGAACTTCCATGAAAACATTCTAGGAACAATTCCTTAGAAATTCCTTAATCTCATAATTACCGAATTTCTACACCCATCATACTTACATTCCAATGACCATTTATGAATCTCATTAAGGAAATCATCAGGCATCTCGTTATTTTCGTCTTGTATTTTCTTGATCCTACAAGCGAAGACGATTATTACCTCAGTATACGTACATATACACATATACAAGGTTTTATGGATTTGTTCAGCGCTACGCAACGCGTGGCGGCAGCGATTATACGTGAAATGACACACGTAGAAATACTACCCATAGCACGTTATTTCAACAGCCGTCGTCAACACGTGTTAGGTTGTAATACGAAACGAATCTATTGACTGGCAAAGCAATACGAAACTCAATGTATAGTCGCTGGAATAAATATATAAAATTGCAAAATCAGCGAGGCGTAACATTTTTCATGTTTGATCATATCGATAAGTTACTCAGTAGACACAATTACAAGAATCAAGATGAAGTAACCAGTTATCATTTTTACTCGTTTTTAATTATAAACTAGAGAAATTCACTTTCTGTTTGAAAGGTGAACTCAGTTAACAGCTTAAACAAGAAAGTTATTTCTCGACTTAAACCTAATGCAAAATATGTCCAAAGGAAAATTTGAGTATCAAAAGTTTTTCTATAATTAGAAAATATATAATTAGATATTTCAATGTGACTTTTAATTTACGACCGGTGGAATATCGGTTCCACCGAGTGTACATACACGTAATCACGCGAGCGGAATCGAGAGAAATAAGCGTAACGGGATAGAAAAGTCAAAGGTAAGGTATAGTACGTGTAAGATCTACTTATGGAAGATCGAACCTTTGAAGGAACGCTAAACTAGCCTCTTCGATAGCCCCAATGTACATTCTCGCCGTTCTTGGTTGCAGCATCACCTGTTGCACCTTACTCCGGAAATTGTACCAGCTTTCACCATGACTGTAACAAACATTTTCGTCGATACACCTCCATTAGACTTTTTTCTTTGGAACTTGAGAAATGTGTAAAACTTCCGTAATTGACAATTCTGACGCAACGATACCTGGTGCTAAAGTATGTTTGATTTTATACTATACAAGGTGAAACATGGGAAAGTTCTTTCGTTTGGAAAGAAAAATTCTTTTAAGGAATTAAGCAACTTTTGTTTCGAATTCAATTTTAATTTGTTTCTTTCATAGAAGCGATGAATACGAAAATAAAATTATTACAAAATTGCGTAGGTATTCTATCTATTGTTGTGTAGTTTATGATCTGTTTAGCGAGTGTAACCCAGTGTATGCATCCATTGAATATAAATTGTAGAAAATAGCATGTGAATAGAGTCAAGTATGTTAACGCTTGTAATTAAGATTATTACTTATCAATTATTAGACACATGTAGTTCAATGCAGCCGAGGCAAAAACACGAGTTTGATCTATTTATGTTTTTACTGAAACATGAAGGAGAACCTTCTTATTGCTATAATTCATTTTTGTTTTGTACAAGCTGTCACGAGAAGAAATCCGTTTTATTGGACGAAAAATGAAGTCGTAACAGTAGTACGAGTTTTTGTCACGCGAATATTAGGAAAAGAGGTCAACTCGAATGCAATTATAGGTTAAGTTAACATGCAGAAAGTGATAGCATAGCGTGCATCAACACCTAATTGTGCAACATTTACTTTCTAGCTGGTAACATGACGTGCATAGCGTACCTAACGCTTAAATTCACCCCCGTTATAGTTAAGTTTCCAACCAGTTTTCTTTCCCTTTACGGTGTAACATGACTACCGTTTCCTGTAAATCATGTAAGTTAAAAGCATGATAGCCAATTAAATTACGTTGATGTAATATCTGATGCAATTAATTTTTTCTTGAAAATCTACCTGCATACATAGTTTCGACCATAGAAAGTTTAATTATACAATCTCTGTGACTTTTTCCTGTGACTTTCCTGAATTTCTCACTCAAAATTTTTGCTTCTACTTTAACTTTATCTTAATTTTTCAAAAATAAAAAAATTTGTTCGGTAATGAAAGAAATTCTAAATGAATTGTTCTACTTTGTTAGTAGAACAAATGTATGCATGCATAACTATGTTAAAGAGTGTGCAGGAACGAGAGAACAGTGACTCTCTAACGTTCCTAAGACACACACTGCTTCAACGTGACTACAGCTCAATATGCATAGCAAATATTTGCTCCTCCAGTGGTTTGCTAAACGAAAGGTTAAGCAACATCGCTAAAGGAATCATAATACCAATATTTGAACATTATAACTCTTAATGAAGAAAGCAAACATGATGAATTTACGATGATTGGGGCATGAGTATAAATACGACGTAGTTTTATATCCTATTTCTGTCATTGGTAATTACATACAGGGTGATTTTGTCGTTAGTTCATCTAAAGGTAGTGTCGGCAATTACACCGCGGCGGTAACGCTGCGTCGATTGCATGAACTGTCGATTGGTCTCTGACGTCACAACAGTGAAGACCGGCGACAGATCGCACATATACCGACGCGGTGTGATCGGCAGCACTGCTCTTAGATTAACCAACGAGAGAATCACCCTGCATTTTACTATACGCAGATTATTGAATTAAAGATAAAAATAAGAGTTATGTGACAGAAATAACGCATAATAAAAATTGATTTTTGTGTATTATGTACATATATAGTATACCATCACCCATAATATACAGAGATCGTTTCACGTAGTGAATGATTACAGCCGTCTGTAGTAGCGGAAAGGGTTAATTACAAAGTGAAAACTAATTGTTCAGAAAATCATTCGCTCAAGGCTTACACTGCAATCACGCCAGCATTCTCCCTGAAGAACTCCTTTCTAAGCACATGCTTGTAATAATTCAACGAGGGCATTGATGGTCTATACGGCATTCGTTCTTCTTGTCTAAAGATACGCTCGATTTCGTTCGCGTCGTAAATGAATACCATGTCTGGTCTACCAAGTAGACCTTCCATTTTTACAATGTCCCCATATTTCTCATACAATCTTTTAGATACTTGATCCACTGCTTGGATTTTAAAATCACCTGAAACGGAAAAGTTAAGTTAGGTTATGTTGTATCTTATACAATATATGTATACATATCAAAAGTTGTTGAATTTTGATTATAATAATTTATTGTAGTGGAATGGAAAACCGTAAAAAAGAAAGTACACTTTTCTTAAATAAGCTAATTAAAATATATTGGCTTAAAATAAGTCAAATATTTGATATGTTTGAAATTAAAAAATATATATTTTACAATCTGAATTCGGGTACTTTTGTTATACATACATATATTGTACTTTCTTTCTTACATTTATGAGATCTCTATAGAGTTATACACAGAAATTTATTATGGTAAATCGGAATATTTAATTACTTAAAAATTGAATCGAATGCTTCAATATGCTAATGATGGAATGTATAATTATTGGAACACTAAATTGATTGATTTAGTATTCAGAACAGTTTTTAGAGTAATCTAAGCTGAATAAAATGTTTCTTCATATTCATACTACGAATTTTTTAGATAAATTTTTTCGCAAATTAAACTTCGTAAAAATTGGATAATTTTATTTGGCAATATATGTAGCTTCTTCAAATTGAACAGAATCATTCACATTCATTATTATCCTGATCATCGATCAAAGTTCAAATATCTCATACCCATGAGAGATTACTCAGTAAAATCTCTAAAAAAAGAACTCGAAAGTTGAAAGGTATCACAGTTAGTTTACACCGTGTGACAAATTTAATACGTTTTTTGTAAACTTAACTTAATCGTCTCAAAAAATAATTAATTATCTCGTCTTTTTTAAGATACACTCCATATATTTAATTAATACTGTTAATTTCATTATTTTCGTAAGAATTTAAATATACAGGGTGTTCGCTTTAACGTGTCGCATAACTTTTCAACCATTTGCGATAATGTAATGAAAAATATTGTTCCATTTAAAAAACTCAAGGTGACTGGATTCATTGTAAAAACAATTTTCGAAACTTTTATTATCGTCATATGTTGTCCACTTAACACAGATAAATTTTGGTTAATAAATATTTTTGGAATGGCTAAAAAACTTTAAAAATTGAATCTTAAAAATTTAATTAAAAATTTTTAATTTAAAAATCTTAAAAATTTCTATATGAAAAAACATATGCGTGTAGGTGGACGAGTTCAAATTGTCCTGAATCATAGATAGTTCAATGGATTACAAATCAATGAATACCTATGAACGGTATAAATCGCCACGTGTTGCCAAAAAAAGGAGCGGGCTTTGGTCCAGGAATGTCAGAATAAGGACGACATCGTGACCAGCTTTGTTCCTCAACCTGTGTTGCCAAGGTTTCTAATGTTCTAACGATATTAATCCACTGTTTGATGATAGTACGTCTTAACGCTATATTGGAACTTAGAATTATCATTTTCAGCCTGTAACATAAAAAGTTGCAACTCATGTTACCCATATATTAATTTATTAAGAAAGTTGTACCACATGAAATTGCTGTTTTTGTAGGTTGAAATAATAAAGATGTAGTATTTGCAAAAATAATTATCTTTATTCAATCAAAATATTTTTATAAAACTAAAAATTTTGATTCGATTTTTTTAATTCGATAAATTCTTTATATGTATATTTCGGCATGATTCAGCTGTACTATGGCCTAGTTTAAATTCATATAAGAAAAGTGTTCCAAATTCTGCGAAAAACAGTTCAATAAACAAAGGGAACAGAGGAGTACAGCACCGAAATAATTCTGTTTCGGAAGAAATCTGAGAAGGTAAAAGCCTAAAATTTCAGACAGGACCGCATGAAGTACACATATAAGGGTGATTTTCATGACGCCAATTACCCAGCGAGACAGATCACATGTACCGACGCAGCATTATCGCGCGGTGTGATCGACAACACTGCCTTTACATTAACTAGCGAGAAAATCACCCTGTATGTATAAGTACTTTAGCTTTGTAAATAATGGAAATAATTAATAATTTGCATTATACAATGATTGTTTTAATAAAAGTGTTTTATTTCAATTTAACCTAAGTATCCCGCAACATCTCTTTGAAAATTATCATTAGGCTTCAGATGTTCATGTAAATGCATATTTTTATAGGAAATTAGTAATAAAATGGAACCTGGATAGAAATTAGTTTTGTCTTTAAAAGATTCATATATGTTGTTATATTTCCACATATGTTCACATATTATATTTTCATATTTCACATATTTTATTTGAATAGTTCGACATATTTTAAGTGCGTTCACATTCTATTACACCCGTTAGAACGGTGTTAGATAAAATTTCCTCAGCATAACAAGCGAACTGCTATTGCAAAAACCAGAACAGCCCTTTCAGGTGAAATTATACGGAGTAATTGTTTCATGCTTTCAACACGGATCGTTCTTAGAACTTGTTACATGAAGTATCCTTTCTTCTGCTTCTTGGTCTGTTTGAGTAAAAAAGCAATAAAATATGAGAGAAATAGGTTAATTACAATTTAGTTTAAATGAGGTAAGAAACGTAAGGAAAAATACATGGAAAATATGAAAAAAATGATTTAAAAAATGTTTGTAAAGAAGATAAAAAATAATTGAAAAAGTGGTAAAAAATTATTTTAAAAAGACAGTATCACGAAAGGTATTAAAATGAGAAAAAGTTACTTTGACCACAATTAGATATAACAATATTCATGTTTTTATATTAAAATTATAATTCTCATTGAAGAAAATTCAACAATTTGTCCAACGAAGAAATCATACTTCCAAATAAATTAAAAATTGTATTCAAAATATATTAATTAATACTTATAGAATATTTTCACGCAAATAGATTTGAAGCTATACTCCTTTACTTCGATTTCGAAATTTTTTCCCGTTTAATAGCTTGCGCAGACAAAGTGACTTTGGCGTCGTAACGACAATACGTTTACAGCTTCTCATTCTATGTTCTCTCTAAAAAGTCGTCAAATAATAGTTTCAGACTTTCTACTTCGAACTTTCTTAGTTCTATCTGGACAAAGAAAAAAAAGAAGAAATTAAGCAACAAAATTTCTCCTAGTAATCTATGAATATATAATACTTGATTGATCACCAGATTAATTGCTTTTCATTTTAAACATATTTTGTAATATATTTTGCGGTTCTCGATTTGCTATATTCGATAAATAATATCCATATGTTATGTTTTACTTATATTATGCCAATTTTATCTTAAATATATTTTACCCTAATTATTGTTAAATTTTTTTTTTTAAAGTAACTACCTT